GCTGAAGGGGTTAAGTTCAGCTGGACGCGGTGGGGTGTGAATGCCCGACCACCCGCCCCGGCCGAGCCACGCAGCGGTGTTGGCTCTGCAGCGAGAGGAGGCCGGGCTCTTCCACCGAGTCTGGGGCGGGGGGGCGAGAAGGCCCTCCCGGGGAGCTCCTGGCCAGTAAGGATGTGCCTGAAATGAAGACCTAATATGTCACTTCCAGAAAGAAAAACTTTCTAGTCCAGTTGAAAAGTTTTTGAAGTAGCTATAACTACACAGCTGTTCATTTTAACTGTGTGTTAGGTCAGTGTAGTCTCTAGAACCTAAGAGTCTGCAAATATGTTCAAGATTTGCAGCAAGCAAAATGGATCAAAAAAGAATGTGAAAGGTGATCTTTTATTCTCTTTTGTTATTAGAAAGAAACCTTGAGGGAATTAAAATTAAGTGTGTCACTGGATCCCTGCGTGCTATCACAATCTTGTAAATACCTAAAATGAGTGCTGTAAATGAAGTATTCTTTAATTACTAATTGTTCCCATGGTTAGCGTCTGTAGTTAAGATCCTCTGAATGCTTTCATTATTGGGGCGTACCTGGACCCAAGTTACACACCTCTGACCATGTTAGTATTGTTAAGCTGGGTAATCTTCCCCACTTGAAGTGTGACTACAGCTTTTTTCCTGCTTTCCTATACGAAAGCAGTCTCTGCTACCAGATGAATTTACAGGTATTTAATGTGTGAAAGGGAATAAGCTATCCTGATGAGAGATACAGACACCTGTATAACTTCACTGTTAAGGAACTGCACTTTCCAGATTATAGTAAGATCAGTTTGCTACCCAGCATAGTGTACAGCTTAACTCAAAAAGCATCTCTATGTAAACAAGACAATACTTTCTACATAACTGCTTATTAACTATTAATATTATTCATTATTTTTTATAAATAAAACTTGCTTTAATTACATACTTGATCTTATGGCTGAGTATGCCTGGCAATGGATTTTGCAAACTGTTCAAAAGCAAATTATTCAAAAGCAAAACTCAAACTGCAATTTTAAGTTTAACTGACTGGTAAAATAGATTTGTGGTGGAAAAGCTACCTGCTTAACTGAAACCATATAGCATGAGGAGCTATTTTGTTAGCTTTCTTAAAAGGCTTATTCAAATAGTTGATCTCATTAATTGTCTTCTAAAGTTGGCTTCAATTCAAGCTGAAACTCTTAGAAAGGATACATGGTAGAAGGTGAAATTTAAAATATGCTCATGTAGCATATACAGAATTAGTAGAACTGGTTGGCATTGCTGCTAGCTAAACAAGTGAAGAGAGTACATGTTTGAAACAGGTTATTTTTAATAGCAAAACTTGTCACCCAGGTATAGAAGATGGCTACCTTTAGGGCAGATAATACTGTGATATCAGGAGGGAACTAGGCAAAGAATATGCCTCTGTATATTAAATAGGTTTAGTTATATAACTCTGGACCAGACACTAATTGAAAGATGCTGTAAATAAATAAATTCCAACAGCTTTTTACCTTTATTTTAATCTGGCTGTTTTGGATGTTGATTATGGGGAAAACAAGTTGGGAACACAGAGGGAGAAGATTCAACAGAGCGACTTTAATCCCTAAAGGTTTTGACCTCAACGGGATTGCTCTGTGTGGTAAGGCAGCGCGTGAAGCTTCTTGTGCCACGAGTCATCGCTTTGTTCCAGATTTTCTGGTTTCTATACTGCTGCATCCTGCAGGTTTTTTTTGGTACAAACTCAGTTTTACTTACTAAATTGCTTTTCATTATGCATTTTGTTATAGTGTATTCTGTCATGTGTTTATAGAAATGTCTGTTACCATGTTAAATTTTGGGCTCTCCTTTTCAGTCATGCTTGCTGTCAGTTGTCACTGTGCCACCTTTCTTCCAGTGGGGGAGGGTGAACAGCAGAGACTGCACAAGTCACGCAATACTAAGAAATCAGAAGTTCTACCTATAGGCATGTAGGCAGCTTCAAACCACAGCTCCTTTGTATTTCGTCTCTTCCTCTTGTCTGTCTTCCTTTCCCCTACCTCCTACATGCTTATGTAACAAGCCCTTATTTCAGGCCTAATTAACTATGTTACCAGGCGGGAGGGGGGGGCGGGCTTTGAAGGATAGATGGATTTTTGTCCCCTCTTCTAGCATCCTAGTATTTGACAAAGATTACCTGGAGTTTTTTAATCCACTGTGTTTTACCAGAGCATTGCAGAACAGCCTGTAGAGGCACATCATCTTTAGAACATTTGTCTAGTTTGCTTGTTAATTTTACACTGAATTTTCAAAATAAAAATCATTGCTAGCAAATCAGCACCCATTAGTAGGAACAGAAAACTTGGTTAACGACTCAGTATGATGTATTTTGTGGTTAATTTCTAAGACACTTCTCTTGTGCGCTCTTGCCTTAGAAAAAAGACCTCCTAATGGCTTTGCACCCCTAGAGGAAATACTTCATAAATGGGTTTATGAAGTATCTTAACAATATTAGAGATGAGTAGAGATTTTTTTTTTCCACTTGTGAAGTTTGTGGTGGGGAAAAAAAATACAGCGGTCTATCATTTAAGTAGCAGATTTAGGCTCATGTGGTGTCTTGCTGAAACCTTGTCTGCATGCTTGAAATTTGAGCTTAAGCCTTTCAGATGAATCGTACATGTGCCATTTCTCTAGTAATTAAGATACTAGCTCTCTTCAAAAGAACTGAAATGTACGGACACTTCAAATTTCACTTATTGAATAAGAAGTTTAGTACTATTAAAGGACTTGGAATTCTGATATCTGTATCAGAAGTATGCACATTCCTGTTCTGGTGGAGTTTGTACTATGTGTTTGAGGTTTGTGGGCAAACTTATGTGGTTGTTGCTGTCCTGCTTTTAATTTTTGTTGTTCCACTGAGCAAATAAAATTTCTCTTTATTTGCAGATGATCGTAGTTTCCCCTCTAAAAGAAGTGGGCAAACCAGTCGAGAGTAGGAAACGAAGAGTTCAGCAATAGAGATGGATGAACAAGCCCTTTTAGGGCTGAACCCAAATGCTGATGCGGACTTCAGACAAAGAGTATGTAATTAACTTGCTTATATCATTAATAATTGGGGGTGCTGTTTCAGTGCAAGAGTCTCATATTTTCATGGGCAGTGGGTTGTGGGCTTGCTTGTTTGTTAACCAATACATAAAGCTCATGCTAGCAAGTAGAAAACAAAGTCAGGTTGCATGTAAGCTGAAGGTCTTGTGTTAGCAGTTCTGTGAAATTACATTAACGTGCACAGAATTTATTTTCCTGGCTCTGAATTTTTCAGTCCCTTCAATTCTTTGTTGCTCAGCTCCTTATGTAGGTTTCCATAGAATGAAAAGCAGCCACTGTGAACAGTAGAGTTGCTTACAGTTACCCTTTTAAATCTTAGATGTGTGGGGTTTTTTAATTTGAATGAATACCAACCTTTAGTGCCTTTTAATGAAATATGTGTTTTTAACTGTAGTGAAGCTTATATTAGCATCGAGTAGGGTAAGAAGGTAATCATGGTATCTGGGTAGCAGTTACTTCATAAAAGAGAAGTGCTCTTATGAAAAGGCATTACAATTTATATAACTATGTACTGAGTACATATTTCTGCTAACTGATTGATTAACAAGTTGCTTCAACTGTCTACAAGATAAACTCCAGTAAAATCTTCCAGAAATGAGGATGTTAATACCTTGGGTTTGTGTTCATAAAAAAAATCCTGAGATATATAAGAAAGTTAAAAATGTAGTTTGATGCAGCCTGTTAAATATGTTGGTTCTGGGTATTTGTCCTTTTTGAAACGCTAGATAATAAAGGATTCAGTAGCTAATCTTTAGTGTTCTGTTAATGGACTATCACTGTAAAATTTAAAGCTTATAGATTTCTTGACCTTTTAACTGTGCAGTCTGCATAATTTTGAAATATTTTCTAGTAGAAGGTGACTTGCCCTTTCACTAATGACGTAAGATGTAACAAAAAGGAAATATCAAACAATTTCTAGTAAAACTGTTTGGTATAAGAAAATTACCAATACTATCTACAGGAAGTGAATTCTTGTTTTAAGAACTTATTTCAACTCACTGAATAATTACTTTGGGAAATGACTTTGAATTGAAACAATTATGAACTTATGGAAAAAAAAACAAACCAAAATAAACAAAAAAAAACCAAAAAAACAAACCCACCTTTTTTTTTACCGCTCTTGAAATAAGCATATTCATAGAATTGGAATAATGTTGTTAATCTAACCTCGGTTTCAGAAGTTACTTTACTGTTTTGTATAACAGACCACACTAAATCTTAAAGCAATTAGATCAAGTTAACTGTTGTTAAAAGCTATTTAGAAGTTCTAATAAACAACTTGATTATGTAAAATTTGGTAGTTTTTTCCAGTCTCTGTGGTAGATTCGTAATCTCACAGTTGTCAGGTGATCAGTGTTTGAATGTTTATTGAGCTTGAGGTGTCGAATACATCCAAAGTGGTGCAGCAAAAATAATGAGTTGGTTTCGGTGAAAAATCTCAATCACTTGCTCTTTAGAGTTTGAGGAAGGAATTTTAACTTGGATGTGAACTTCCACCTAAATGGGAAAGCCCTGAGTAACTTCCTCTAGACAATGGTACCTCCAGAGATCCCTTCTAACCTCAACATTTCTGATTCTATGACTTTTATATTCAAGTAACAAAAATCTTTGCAGTGAATGTAAAGTGGAAATCAGTACCTATGCTATTGGGATTTGAACAAACACTTTTGTGTTATGGGAATTAGGGAGCCACATAAATACTTGGATTTATCCAAATACTGTTTGTTTTTTTGAAGCAGAGATGTTTAAATGTGAGTCCAAGTGTGAATGAGATGTCTTGATGTGTGGTTTGTTTACTCTTTTTTTTTAATGAAACTTGGATGTTTGCAGGCACTAGCCTACTTTGAGCAGCTAAAGATATCTCAGGATGCTTGGCAAGTCTGCGCAGAAGCATTAGCTCAGAGTATATACAGGTAATGTAGATAACAATCATTACTTATTTTCATTAGTAATATGTTTCAGTCTGGTTTTAACTCTACAACATAATAGGCTAACTGTAAATTGCTGTAACTTAATATGGTCTTTATACTGGTTTTAGTATCATAGTTGATCTGTGGCTTCTGTATAAAAGTAATATATAAATGAAACTCCATATTAATTTAGTAGTCTAAAGACTGTTGCTTGTTGAAATCCAGGGTAAAAGAGTGAGTTCTAGTACTATCTTTTGGGGAGGAGTGCTGAAAATTTCCTGTTGCGGGACTATAAGCTTTATATGTGGTGATCGCAGCAGCAGTTCCTTGCCCGTATTCTGTGGAGTAGGCCATCCCATTTTTCAAGATGCAGAGAGCTGGGTAGTCACCACTGTTTTTGCACAAAGTTGTTTATTTAGATCTCAAGTACTAGGCTGTTGCTGTATCACAGAATAATTCAGGTTGGAAGGAAACTGCGGGACGTATGTCTTCTGAATAACCATGATTTATAGTGAATGCTTTTTTGTAAATGTTTTATCAAAACTTCTGACTCCAACGGAGTATACAGTAATTAACAAAACCAGACAAGATTTGAAAACAGCATTTTATCATTTTTACCAAAGTACATTATGGTTGTTACAATTTTTAGATAATAAGATAAACTCATGTAGATTATATAGCCTGTGGAATGTCCATTCCTAATCTATACCTCAGTCCTTATGTTTGCTCTTTAAAACACACTGTACAGCTTGTACTTAGTGTACTAATGGCCCCTGAACATATTATTGAAGCCTGACAGATTTTTATGAAGGCAGAGTACAATAGGTATTGTAGTCTTGTATGTTCAATACTGAAATCAAAGCAGAACAAATTGGTGGCTATAGGAAAAAAAGATTATAATATCAAACATAAATATTAGTTTAACAGTTGCCCATTTTTACCAAATCGACTGCTTGAGTATTTTTAATTTTTGCTTTGAAGTAATAGCAGTATCATTTTTATCTGGTCCACAGTAATTCTTGATTTGCCAAAGGGACGACCTGGTTTTACTATTTGAAGAATTTTTTTCTTCCCAGGGAATTGTACCATATTGCTACCAGTAACAGAATTTTCTTTTCTTTTCTAGTGATGATCACATCAAGTTCTTTTGCTTTCAAGTTCTGGAACATCAAATTAAGTTCAAGTGAGTATCTTTCTTGACACCAACCATATACATCCATTTAATTTTCCCTTTTTATTCTGCTTATAAAGAAACTTAAAATAGTATCTGTCATCTCAGTGTGGCTGATGAGATAGCTTTAATCTGGCACAGAGGACCTTCACCTTTTCCTGGGAGAGGAGTAGTTGGGTTTTGAGCAGCTGTTGGGTTTTGAGCAGCATGCTCTACTTAGGTAGTCCAACACCTATGTATGGCCCAACACAGACCAAATTACCAGGCATTGCTTGAAACTTACTTAGCCATTCCTTTCTGGAGATTCAAGCTTTACTCTGTACTCTCACTGATTTTTGCAGAAGAGTCCTGCAAGCAGCAGCCTTGCTTAGTGTGGAGTCCTGGACTTTAGACAAAGCCCCATTCATTCAATAACCATGGCAGAGACATTTCGAGAAAGTAGTCTTTTCACTGTTTTCATAGAATTATAATTTTAGGAAAAAAAACTTTGAAATAATACAAGTTTAATTGCGTGGAACTATATATTTTTCAAACTTTGGGCTCCTTTGGTCACTTGAAAACCATGGCAGAGGTGTCTGCCTCTTGGAATATAATCGTGACTGGTTGCAATACACTGAACATGTGGGTCAGGCTTTAGATAGGAATAAGATGTAGTTTGTGACTGATTTTTCACAATTATATATCAGAGCAAAAATGAAAGACTTAACTTCCTGTAATTTTATTTACCTGATTTTACCTCATTGTCCACCTTCCTCTGCCTATTCCACTCCTGTCATCTTCTTCCTGCAGTGTGCTTTCTCTTGTTTTCCTGCTTCTTATTTTCTTTGAGAGTTTTCAGTGGAGCTGTTTTTTTCTGCTCCTTAATGAACAGTTATTTTTGATACGAACACTGGAAGCACATTCAGCAGTCGCTCTTGTTAGGGGCTGTAGCAAAGCTATAGCTGGCTCTGTTGCAAGGAGAGTGTTCTCAGCTTAGCTAGTCCTGGGAAGGAGCATGTTATATGGGTAGTATTTGAGGTGGGTTGGTTATAATGTAAAGTTTTGCCAAGACTCTATGTATGATGTAAAAGCAGAATTACTTGTTTGCTTTTTTGTTTTGAAATATGTCTGATAATAGAAGTACTGTAGGTCACAACAGTGAAGGACTTGTGGTCACTATCGATGGTCTTCAACATGTAGTAAAGAAGTTTGAGCATATACAGATGCCTCTTCCTTCTCTCCATGGCTTGCGGTCAAATGAGTAATTTTATCAGGGTCCCTGATAGAGCAGCTTTCCTGAAAAATTTCAAGCTCCTGCTCCAATATAGGAGGCAGCAGTGCCTCAAAATGTAATCCATTGACATTGGGAAAAATGTTTTCCTTATTTTTCTGTCTTTGATTCAAAATATGAACGTGCAAATAGTTATGTAAATTCCTTTTGTAGGAACCTATCGTTTACATTAATGTGCAGTGATATGTGCAATATTAAAGAGTTCTGCCTTACTGAATGTTGTGCTTGTCATAAAGCAGTTGTATTTTGATCTCATTATGCTTTGTTTCAGATACTCTGAACTTACTGAAGTCCAGCAGCAGCTAATTAGGGAAACACTCATAACATGGCTGCAAGCACAGGTAAGTACCTCCCTTCACAGCAGTCTTGCATATTAGGCTTATTAGTGGCCTATCATAAGGCACCGAGTGTGGACTAAGTGTATAATCTGTCATTTGAGTTTAAAGATGGCTTCCTGAAGGTACACGGTATCTGAAGGTTAAAGCTTTTAACATGCTAATCTTTATTAGAAATTCTTTAAATCAGATGTTTTAAAGAAGTCTGTGTTTGAACTTACTACTAAATATAGAACTCTTATGTCAGATAACGACTGTGGTTTAATCAGTTGTCTGTGAAATAAGAAATATTAAAAGTTTCACTTTAGAGAGGTATAACCCAGATTCTTGATGTTTCTGAGTGTCTGGAGGAAGAGCAGTAATTCTGTTTTTAAGACCCTGCTGGCCTAGCTCCTGTCTACTTAGAAAACTAGCAGAAGCTTATGAATGAACAGCATCACTATTCTGTTAATATAGAATATTGGCTGCAGTTTCTTGTGGAATTAGTTACTGCAGCTGAACATGCGGTGTCAGTTGGACCCAAGAGTTTGCAATCAGAAGAACCATAAAGTGGGCTGATAAGTCTTTGCCTATACCTGCCACTATCGAGTTATCATTCCACTTCTGCACTGGAAATTAACATAGTTACTTTGTTTGTAGAAAGCTTAACAGTAGGAAATTGAATATAATACAACCTGAAAAAGAACAGATTGTTGTGAAATAGATTAAATTACTTTTAATTTTTCTTTGTGGCAAGCTCTTCCATTTAGGAGGATTTTACAGAAAAGGGGAAGAAGAGAGTGAGATTGATAATGACAGATTTTCAATTTTTTAATTATTTTTTTTTTTTCCCCTTGATGAGCTTAGGTTTAGAAACTTCCTATAGTGTTCTTAAAACTAACATCTAACCTAGGCACAAGCTAGCAACAAGAGGACTGTAATTTTTTTTCTGGAAGTTCTTGTTTACTCCTTTCACCAAACTAACAAATTAACTCTTAGTCTTTAAATAGTACACTTAATGTCTTAGTATTGAATGAAAGGCTTAGGACTGTATCATCTAGAGAGAATGTTCTTCCTGTTTCATTACAGTTTAGCTAAGTCATCTTCAAAATACTTGGAAAGGATGTAAGACTTTTTATGTCTCTCAACCAGAAAGAGAGGTAGTACATTAATCTCTATACAGAGGTCAACAAGCATATGTGATTCTTCTCTAATTCAGTGAGAATATACAAATAAAGTATCTTGTTTCTACCAGATGCTGAATCCCCAGCCCGAGAAGACTTTTATTCGCAACAAAGCAGCACAGGTCTTTGCACTGCTTTTTGTTACTGAATATCTCACAAAATGGCCCAAGTTTTTTTTTGATATTCTATCAGTAGTTGACCTTAATCCACGAGGTGTGGATATGTACCTCAGAATCCTGATGGCTGTTGATGCCGAGTTGGTAGACCGGGATGTTGTTCATACATCAGAGGCAAGTTGTTATTTTGCATTAACATTTGTTTTAAACTTTCAGAAAGTTCTCTTACTTTAATTAGAGCAGAAGTCTTGCAGATATGTTGGTTTTTTCCCCTATGGCAACTCTGTTTTAGAGACATTAGGTGGTTTAGATCCAAAAACCGTACGTTGTTTAATGATTATTATGATTTCATACTTTTTGGCTAATGTATTTTTTCCTTGAAGAGCTAGCAAATGAAAACTAAGGGACTGAGTTAGCCAATTTAATGTTAGACTGACAAATTTTTAGATGTTAATTTCTTCTAGTGCCTGTTTTAAGGAGTCCTAACAGCAAAAAATCCATTTAATGATCTAGTGAACTTTCCCTTTTGTCAGTGTTTGGGCATTGCGGGAGTGAAAAAAAAAAAGGTGAAAACTAGGGTATTTTCATTTTATTTCTTGTGAGAAAAAAAAAAAGTGCTCTTTTTGGTTTCTGATTTGAGTTATTTATCTTGCCAAGACAAGTGGTGTCTGGTAGTGGATAAAAAAATGCTACTGATTTGACAAGATGCTAATCTAGGACAAGAGTGGTTTATCCTTTTTCTGTATTGATAGGAGGCTCGTAGGAACACCTTATTAAAAGATACTATGAGGGAACAGTGCATTCCAAGTTTGGTGGAATCGTGGTACCAAATCTTACAAAACTATCAATATAATAACTCGGAGTTGACATGCCAGTGCCTTGAAGTAGTTGGAGCTTATGTATCCTGGATAGATTTGAACCTGATAGCCAATGAAAGGTAAGGGTTTTTTCATGGAGTATCATTGCAAAAATAACCTTGATAGCATGCTGACTATATTTCCATGAAACAAAATTAAAACTGAGCTTTGAAAAGGGACTTTAATTATATACATACCTTTGTGGGGTTTTTGGCTTTAGTAGAATGATTGACTTTGCAAGCCAAGCTGATATAATGGCCAAAATAGACACTACACAGTTTTCTGGGTTCTTATTAAAATGTATAAAATGCTGGGTTTAGTCAGTACAATACAGACTTTAAAACTGTATTATAAAAAGAAACCATTGGAAACGTGCACACAAATAATATAAAGCTTTTATTAGTTGCTATTGTGTACATATAAAAATAAACTTTTTTTTCTTTGAAGGTTTATAAATATGCTGCTAGGTCACATGTCTGTGGAAGTTCTCCGGGAAGAAGCCTGTGATTGTTTGTTTGAAATTGTAAATAAGGGAATGGACCCAATTGATAAAACAAAATTGGTTGAATCTTTATGTCAAGTATTGCAGTCTGCTGGCCTCTTCAGTATTGATCAGGTTTGTATATTGATTTTTACACTAGCAATGAGTCACAGGTCTCCAGCAGTTCTTAAATAAGCAAATGAACAGAAAGCTATAAAACTAAGTCCACAGATTAGGGAGAATTAGTTGGCTTCTGCATCAAAGCTAAACACTTCTTACACTTTTCTCATACCTTGACAACTTGTTATTAATATTCCTTACTCATTTAAAACGCTGCATTTTGTTTGTCTGCAGCATGAATTTTTCACTTTAGAAGCAAGGTATTATGTGACTTGTCTGTTCCTCTCGGAAAGCATGCTTTAGTTACTGTTAATGCTGCTTCTGTATTTCGGTGCCTTAAATCTTCTCTTCTAAATGATGCTGTGATAGATATTGTAACCAAGGTAGCAGAGTTTTTTAGGATGAGACATTGGATCAGCTGTGCGTAATTAGGTAGGAGAAGAGCTTTCTTAAGGGCATGTGTGCTGTTCTGCATGGCTGCACCATCAGACCTGAAGCTTGAAATGCTTATTTGCAAGTTGTAAAAATATACTTACTAGACAAACATACATTCCCTGACAGTTCTAATGTTTAAGGAACAGCTGTTTGCTACTTGTCATGGAGAAAGAGGAACAAGTCCTTATGAACCTGTAGTCCTTAGACTGCATGGTCATTATCTCTTCATTTTGAACCCTTTGTCAAATTTGTGTTCCTACTAGAATGCAGAAAATGTGCATTCATCAATTCACAAGATGTTCCTCTAAAAATCTTACCTCTGTCTCTCTGAGGCAGACTTGTTACTATTCTGCTTTGGTGCAGTTGTGGCAGAGAGCAAAGCATCTGTTTGGGGTCAGTGGTCTAGGGGTGTTTCTCAGTTCTGATCAATGTATTTCTGCAAAAGCAAGCCATAAATATTTAATATTTACTCACTCTTACAGGCAGTACTGAAAGTTACTTGTTACCAGTATTTCTGAAGTGAGCTACAGCTGTTAATTCTTTGAAGTTTCCCATAAAATGATTTTCCTCTTATACAGACTAAAATTTATGGTAGGAATGTGCTTCTGCTTTTGTTTTGAACCTGCTTCTTGCTGTAAAGTAAAAAGAGAAACAAACTAATCTGAAGATGTGAAGCAAGCTGCTGTTATATAGTGGGGGACAGCAAAATCTGGTATTGCTTTAATCGTTCTCTCCCCATTCCCCGAGGAAAATGAACCAGGCAAATGTACCTTGCATCTAGCAAACATATGTTGGTTTTACTTCTGCATATACATACTAGACACGGATAGTACAGTCTGAAAGCTCATGCAATTTAAACATAAACTTTGCTAGTATTTTTAATCTGATTTTTTTTTTTTGTAGGAAGATGATGTGGATTTTCTGGCCAGATTCTCCAAGCTGGTCAATGGGATGGGGCAAGCATTAATAGCTAGTTGGACTAAACTGATTAAAAATGGTGATATGAAGAGTGCTCAAGACACTCTACAAGCTATTGAAGCAAAAGTGGCCCTAATGTTGCAGCTGCTAATTCATGAAGATGACGACATCTCATCTAATATCATTGGCTTTTGTTATGACTACCTTCACATCTTGAAACAAGTAAATATGTCTGACTTCAAATTAACATAACTTTTTGACATAATTTAGTTTGATTTTTGTGGGAATATATGAATCTCTTATACTCTCTGCAAGCTGACTTGCAAAATAGTTTTCTTGACTAATTAGCATTCACTATCTTTAATGGCTGTGGTCATGCTGTAGCAATTGGGTTAAATCTTGCATTAAGTGGAAAGAAGGCTTGCAGATATTATGGCTGTTAAAGTATACTTGTCTTTTCCTATTAGACAGTAGTAAAGGAGTTACTATACAAAAAATAACACTTGAAATTTATTTTACAGCTTTCTGCGCTTTCAGATCAACAAAAAGCTAATGTGGAGGTAAGTATTCTCTTTTTACTAGAGATTTTTGTTTTCAGGAACACATTGGGTCAGGATTTTTCATTTTGCTGAAACAAATCATGTTTTATTTATATGCCTTAAAAAGTACATGTGACAAAGGGGAAGACTTAAAAGTAAAGACAGGATGTTCCATCTTCTGCTAAGTAACTACAACTGTTTCTTTAAATAGTAAACCTATATTGAATTGTGTATGCAGGTACAAGCTGTTTTAGAGCTGGTGTTTCCAAGCAACCCTTAAGCATATGTTGGTAAGCTCCTATACAGTCTGTACAGTTGAAAGAATGTTCTTAAATCAAGGTAGAAGAAGTTAGGTAGAAGGTTGGATTGGTCTTTCTTTTTTTTCTGAAACTTTGTATTTTTATTAAAACCTCCACCAATTCCAAAGGATTGGAAGAAGTATGGGAAGGTTTGTCATAAAATTCAACCCTTGATAGTATCATAAGTTAAATTTAGGAAAGAAGCTGCAATTCAAACATAACAGTTATACTTATGAGCAGTTATGTGTTAAGTATTACATTACGCTATATATTAAGCTTAAGTTTATATGCTTGAGTTTATACATAAGCTGAAGTTTCTATATAAATTATTAAATTTAATAAATAAGGTTTATGTCCAGTTTTGGAGGTAGTAAACTTGTTTGGTTTTTTCAGCACAGTAATTTTTTTAAATTTCTTTTTCCCTATGACCCTTCTGTACCAGTGTGGATGTACTAATTTAGATGCTGAGTTGGTTAGGTATTTTGTAAGTTCATATAGCTGACAACTGTGATTCTTTTTCCTTTACAAAGAAAACTGAATTCTAACAGGAGAAATTTAATTTGGATAACTCTGATCTAGATTATCTTGATCTGGTTTTGTCTAATGTCTGTTTAAATTGGATGAGGTAACACAATAAGGGAAGTTTGATAACATCACTGAATCTTTTTATTTTTGTTACTAGGTATCTTTTGCTCTTATAACTGCATCAAACCAAATTACTACTGTGGTGCACCTAAGACACTTAAAATTTGAATGTGTCACTGTCCCAAAATCTATTGTTTTGTTAAACTTGCTTTCGTAATAAAGAACTTTGTGTTTTAATTATTTCTCAATTTCACTGAGCATTTCTTGAGGATTTGAGTTCAAACTAAGAAGCAATCATACTGATCTTGCTTCTTTCATCCACTCATAATAAAAAAGTATTTGGAAATAGTCTAAATCTTACTGTTGTCTGTCTTAAGCTTTAAATTGTGTGCTAGCACGAGCATTCCTGAAGTTTTGCACCTGAGAAGTTCTCACTTTCAACTTCTTCATTACCTGAACAGGAAAAAATAGAATCGTGTTAGTTGTGCCTTTGAAGTCTCAAAGCTTTTTCTTATCAGCAGGATCAAATTTTTAATTCTTAAAATGATGGGTGTTTCTGAGCATTTCTGGCTACAAGCATATCACATTAATGTCTTACAGTTATTTTAATTGTTTAATATAATTTACAGAGAAGCAGAGACTTCTCCCAGATGCTGACACTTGGTGTCAATAGGAGGCCTGATCACATTTTTGCTATTTGGCTGTGTTCTTCCTCAAAGTATTAAAAGTCCGTTTCTGCAAGATCATCAAGAATTTTACCTCAGTAATCTAAGTTTAATTCATTAGCCCATTTTAGTGTTAAAGAATTTAAAGTTTTGCACTTAAAATGCAAAATATGTAATCATGATTCATCTGTCAAAATTTTGGTGTTTTTTCTGTTTGTTTGGGATTTTGCGGGGGGGGGGGGGGGGGGGGGGGGGTGTTATGTTTTATTTTTAAAGTTTATCTTGTTCCTTTGTCTAATATTTGTCTGAAGTTTGTGGCTATCCACATTCTGAACCTCCAGTGCTGGAAGAGAATCACAGAACACTAATCAAGTTTTTGCTGATGTGATCAGTATTTTCATTTGCTGTAGTTATAATAAAAGCTGTTGGTTACTGAATTTAACCAATGTAGAGAGGGGGGGTGAAAAACAAAACAAAAAACCTCCTTTTTTTTCCACATGGTAGTAGGCATAGGGATGAGGTGATCTGTAATGCTGATCAAATACCTGTTACAGTTATGAGTCTTTTCCAATATTCAGTTAACCTATTCCTTGTAATAGGTGTATGGATATGTCCTGCCCCATTACTTACTGCTACTTAATTTTCTCTTGGATTTCTGACACTTTATTGTTGTCACAGACATAAAAATGGTCTGCCTCTGATGCAGTTTTATTTATTTGGAATAACTTTGTCTGTTTGGGATATTTAGATTTAATACATGTTTTCATAGGTTCCCCAGAACAAAATGTTAAACTAAAGTGAAAATTAAAGCATAATACATTTTTAAACACTTGTTTTAGCTGACTGTGTGTGTCTGACCAATTTCTGTCCATCCTGGAAATAATGAATGGAATTGAGTACTTCACGTATTTTAAACTTTAAAGGAGAGTTCTGAAAACCTGAACTAGGATATGTTTAGTCATATCAAAGTGATACATTTAGAGTTTGAGACTTCAGCAGAGATGAGATCAAGTCTTTATTCCTATTTTAGGACTTATCAGCAGTCTCTACTAAGGTGAAATTGCACATGAGTGCTTTAACTGATCTAACAGCTTGCTGCTGCTGGACAGAGGTTTTGTTTTTCTTACTCCTGTTGGCTGCTCCAAGCTCTTACTCTTGGATTCTTTGCTGAACCAATTCAGCTTTTTAACCTATCCCGAAAAAAAACCTTTCAAGGATGTTGAGCTATTAGAGAAGTTAATGTTATGGCTAAGCTCACTTGCCTCTTCCAAATAGGATCTTGGACAACCTGTTAAGCTTCCTTTGCCTAGTTTGGTCATCTTAATTGTTGTTTTCACTGTGAACCTAACAGCACAGATTACAAGCAGGACACAAAGACAGATAGTAGTGTCAGAGACAGAGCTCCAAGTCATCTGTGCTGTGTGTCTGGATTGGCATCTGTGTATTGTTCATATATGATTCATCTGTTTCAGTTTGGACTGCTACTTCTGCTAAACTTCTGAAAATAGGAATTCAAATGGGATTTAAAATATTTCTAAACATTTAACGCTTGCTTTGACATTTCCTTTGCTGTAGAACTTTAACTGTTGCTTCTTATCACTTGTCTGCCTCTGTGCTTACAGTTCTGTTTTTATCTTAGGCAATCATGTTGGCTGTTATGAAGAAGTTGACGTATGATGAAGAATATAATTTTGAAAATGAGGTATTGTGTTATATGAATAAACAGACAAATGCAAATTAAACTGCATGCAGTAAAACTTGCTCATGCTTTTTAAATCCATATTTTTCATAGACTATGGATTTGAAGGTAGGAAGCAAAGGTCTAAATTTTTTGCCTGTGTGGAAAGCTTTTTTTTAACCTCTGAGTATGTCTGCATACAACAAAACAACATAGTAAAGGGATAGCCAAGCCAGTTCAGTTAGCAGAGTATTTCTGGCTGCGTTTGCAGATCTGTTCCTAGGCAAATACAGCTGTGCTGTTAGCTAAACAGAGCTGTTGAGCTGGCTTGTTCAGTGTGAGTTTGCATGTTTCTGCATATCGCTTCTGTTTTGCAAAAAGTTTTGAGAAACATTGTGTAATGAAACTCTTTGAGATACTGCTTGACCTACTTCAGATGGTCAAACCTCTGCAAAGATAAGCTAAAGGAGGTGGGAGGTCTTTGATTTCACTTTCCTCCTGTGCTTATATCTCTATCAGCCAGCAATAATGACTGAATACGTTAGACTTACTTTTGCTCCAGGCTGCAGTCTTGAAAAGGTTAACTTAAAGTGTATGCAGGCCATCATAAATGTTTGTCAGTTTAATTTTAAAACTCAGCTAGATGCTGAGAAAAGAACATCTTTGAGGAGTTAACCAATTTACAAGAATTAGGTCAATAAGGCTTTGCCAAGAGCATTTTCTTTCTTGTACTTTTGGCTAGCTTTCAGTTTGGAAAGCTTTTTTAATATGTTTCTGGACCAAATGCAGTGGATCTCAACATATTATAACCAGCCAGAAAAGGAGCCTGCTGTTATGTTGCAAGAGCAGAGGTCGAGCATTATTAAATTCTCTGAGCCTGGTATATTGTTCTTGTATGTACATGTTTTTGTTTTAGGTGTAACTGCCTAAAATGGTTGTGGATGGATTTAAACATGAAAATATGGACTTAACAGACATGTGAATGTTTTGTAGGGTGAAGATGAAGCAATGTTTGTGGAGTACAGAAAGCAGTTGAAACTGTTGCTGGACAGACTTGCTCAGGTCTCACCAGAGTTACTGTTGGCATCTGTCCGCAGAGTTTTCAACACTACACTTCAGTGAGTTGTGTGTTTTAAACTTGCTTACATGATGTCCTTAGCTTTTTTTGCCTTTTGTAACTGTCAGAGTTTGTAATTAACATAAGTGTGATGTAGCAAGGTGAAAACGATAGAATGAGCTTGTTACAACTTCATGATAAATATACTCTTACTTTGAACTGCTCAGGCTGAAATTTCCTAAAACAAATGAGGCTAGTGCCCCGTCAAATAAGTTTTCTTTGCTGTACAATCTTGATTCACCTCCTTTCATGAAGGGGAACGAGGTCTTTTGCAAAACCCCCCATGTGACAAGGTAATGAAAGACACATGCACTCAGAGACGTGGATTACAGTTGCACCAACATATGTCAAGAACCACATGAACTTAGTAAGATGATTCCTGCTCTGAACAGTTAACTGCCT